ATCAAAGCAAATCAAATTCTATGTCTACAAAATTGCATACAATATTACGTGCACCAATTTCCGAGGAGGCTTCATGGAACAAATTAATTATTGCCCACAATGCAACTTCAAAGTTTGTTTAATTAATTAATTAATTAATTAATTAATTAATTAATTAATTAATTGGTCTTGCAGGTGACTAGCGGGTAGGGGTGGGGTGGGTCAGGAAACTGTGTGCAAGCTTTGTGGAACTTATCATACATATGATAAGTTAAAATACTGCTTGATTGACATCACGGAAGGTACACGTATATATTTGTTTTAGAAAGCCCCATGGACACTTTCCTTGTTTTACTTTGTAGTCCAGTACCCTAACCACACAACCATCACCACTAAATTAGTAGATGCATACCTATGAAGATTAACATAACACTCACCCTCGTGCCAAAATGGTACAACTATTGGCGTCACTTGCGATTCTGCTATAAGTCGCCCAACACCTGTCAACAAGCCACAGCAGGGCAGTGGAAATTACTAACATGAGTAAACCAAACACACTTGCCAATTACTAAATATTCTGTTAAACATACAAATATGGCTTGTCAATCTGCTTATCAAGTGCATGGGATGCACCATTACCATAGATAAGTGTGTTATCCAAGTAAAAGAAAATGTCTATGTCTATGCATGGCTATGTCTGTAATTAATGTATAGTTTTAGTCATCTTGTATTTCTTAGGAGGGAACCTAAGTTTACAAGCCCTGTGGTTTTTATTAGGATTCCTCGCCATCCCTCGCGATTCCTTGCCGTTTAATAATTGCAATTTCTTTGTATCTCTTTTTGTGGCAAATAAAATAAAACAAGATAAAATAAAAAGTAAAAAACAACATTTAGTAATAGTCAATAGATTTAGATTGTGATAATATAGAATATAGAGTTCTCTGGTAAAAAGTATTTAAAAAAACATAAGCTTTCAACGGTTGGTCTTCTGTCTTCGACGGATAAAAATTTTTGTGATAAAATGAAATGTTAAAAATTTGAATATAGAAATAGATTGGTTTGCAATTTCCCAGTCAATAAATTAGGGAATTGTCAAAACGAAAGAGAGTTTTAATTTCACTTTTGTAACCTTTTGGTGAGGTTTTCTGTTTATATTGTTTTTCCTTCAGTTTTGAGCTAGAACACTCTCGAACTAATCAAAACATAAGCAGTCAAAAACACTTTTACACCCAAAAAAATTTAAATACTCCAGTTAACTTTTAATCCTGGGTTAGCGTCAACCAGCTTTCAAACAACCCAGCCATGGTTTTGGAATTTTATGTGTAACAAGAAGGAAAATGGGCTATGGCCTGAAGCATGCTCTAAAGAAGAGCAGGCTGCAGCCTGCACAACAGGCGGATTCATGGCATAGCATGAAATGCCCAATCCCCCTGTTCTGCAGGATAAGCAACATGGAAAAAATACAGATACTACAGATCCTGAGGATCTTAAAGGATCTCTTTGGATGCTAAACAGCAATGAGATCTTACTGTTAAAATCTTTTGCATTAGGATCCCAGGGAAAATCCTTCAGTTCCTTGTGGAGGATCTTCTCATCCCATCCTCGGGACCCAGGGGCAGTTAGTTGGAGCAAGAAAAAGTTGAAGATGCAGGGAAAAATTGACAAAGAAAAGTTTTCTTGGCTGATTATTCCCAGCTGCTTTGCAATTACTCACCCCTACTAACAGTTAGCCTCTGGGTCTCCAAGGATGTTCATGTCCCTGCAAAGATATTAATATGCCGTTGGGGTGTGAAGGACTCTGCAAAATCCTCAAAAATCTCTGCAGGATCTTTGCAAGGTCTTACATAATTTTAAAGATACTTCAAGACCCAAAAAAATTTTGATCCAACAAGACTGTCATCAAAATCTACAAACAAGACTCTTACCCCATTTCAATCTTTTGATAGTATCATTGATGTTGATAGCACCTAAGATGAACTTTACCAGCATCAGTAAAAATACCTTAATTTATCACGTTTTCATAAAAAATCTAACATATGGAATTTTCATAAAGGAAATAAGATTGAGTTTAACTTGCAGTTAATCAAAAACTATTTTGTGCAAAACCAAGTTATGAGCACAAACATCCAACTGCAAATCACAGTGCATGTAAATTAGTCTGTGAGAAAAATAATATATAATTATAAGCCATCTTGGTGTTCAATATAGAGTATCACTCTCCAACCAAAGCTAAGATATGACTGGAAAGAATCAATATGGGCAAGACAAAGATTCACAAAGTGTATAAAGTATAAATTGGTTGGGTAAAAACATTGCTGTAATCTAACTTACACGACCATGTAATTTGGCATACAGAACTGTTTGTTTATTCTTCTTTGTTTGTTTGTTTCTTTTTTTGTTTCTTTAACCAAGCTGTCCTGATTTTTGTTACCGTTATTGTGGTTACCTTCAGGGAAGACATGAACCCACTGTCCTTTATTTAACTGTTCAATAGCGACATCCACTCCTTTCTGATAAACACCGTCACCTGATGAACAACACTACTGTTAGTGCTGCTGAAGTAGAGCTCAAGACTTTCTACTCGACATGTTTTCATTTCCAGTGGCTAGTGACTTTTTAGCTTTTATAAGCCAAAATATATTTTTTTTTTGCACTGTTTTATTTTTGGCATGTACCATAAGTACCATATCTCCCAATATCTGCAAATGAAATATTCTTAAAACTGCAAGGTATGGAGAAGTCAGATTAAACAAATTTGAGATATGTTCATTTGTCAATCCCACTACATTCAGCTTTAATTTACAGTTACAGTCACAAAAGACAAAACTAGAATAAAATAATGCAAACCCCACTACTAGCCAGACTTGCATTTTTACTAAATCTATGAAAACAATTCACTTCTGTACAGTTATACCGCTTCTCACTGTTGTGGAAGGTGCCTCTAACTTGGAAAATCAATCCACCATACCGATTGGCAAACGGTTCTTCGAAATAAATTCTGAAATTTTGGTACATGTAGTACAGTACATGTCAAAAATTTTGCCTTGTGGATGTTTTCTTTATCCTAATCAACTTCTCTTCTCCGTAACAGAATGCACAGGAACGTAACATGAACATAAGTTAATTTAAGTTATTATTATTTCAAAAATCAGCAATACAATAACAGAACAGCTCACCTCTGACGACAGGAATTGCCTGCAAAATGAAATCAGCAATGTTCAATACTTAAATAAGGTAGATTGCAGGCCTAAACCAGAACACGACTTCTTTTCACAGTTGATACTGCTTTTAATACATTTCCCCTAATTAAGCACTAGGGAAAGACTTATTTCTAACTTTTAAGGAACCTGTTATAATTAGTATTATTATGCAAGGTTCTCCAGATAATCTGCAGGTTTCAAGAAGTACTGAAAACAATAACCTGACAGAACAGACTGATGTATCTTGATTCTATCCTCTGCTATCAATATTTTAACAGCACAATACTATGGCAATCCATCTAAATAACATAAAATTAATAAATAAATTCATTTGGAGATTGTAGCAGCCCAACCCATGGTGCGGCTCTTTGTCCACTATTCACTAGTAGATCATTTGGAATTTAGAATTGGTGGTTTTTGTGGTGGGAGGAAAACCAGAGAACCTAGAGAAGATGTTTATTCATTATCATACTGTCTTCTGCTATTTCAAAACAGGCCTGTTATTAAGGTGGCTGAACACAGTTTTTGATACCTGTGTTTCATTCACATTTTTCTCTAAAACCCTTGATCTCTCGGTCGCCAAAAATGGCAACAAGCAACTTAACAGCACAAATTTTGGTTTTTTGACGGTTAAGCTGACGTATGTCTCGTTGCCATGGCAACACAAATAAAAATGAACAGGCCTTTAAATCGGTTTTGTTTATTTGTAGAAAATCTAGTCATTAGATTTTCTTTATAATTTGCATGCAACAAGCTT